ATATACATTATATATAAATGTATAATCCTTCAAATCCTTGTACCCATAAATACATGATATAATATATGTAAATAGTCTATAGATCTGTCTATAAAATTAATCAATTCTGCAATTTTAGGCTTTTGTATGTGGCTTAATTAATTATAATACTATTGCTTTAATTKAATAGTCATTGACATTAAATACGACRAGCTGTCTGTATTTAACCAACTTTTTAACCATAAAATGCATTTCAGAAACTAAAAATAAGATGCTTTGTAAACATTATCGGTTATTTATTACTAATTATTAGGGYAGAGAAGTTATAGGATTCGCATGTTTTATTCTAGGCCTCTATTTTTTATAGCAAACCAAGATATAAATATAAGTTATAGGCCCTACAGTTGAAATCTAAAATTTTTTTGAATTTTTTTGCATATTTTAAACATTTAAAAAAAAAATGCATATTTCGTTATTTTATGCATATTTCATGCATATTCTATATAAAAACTGTATGGTATTATTATATACTATATAGTATATATACATTGTACACCACTCGATGCCCGTGTAGACTATGTACTATATTATAGCTACCCACATATTATAGGCGGGCATTCGGATAATGTTATCGAAGAGTTAATAAATTAGTAACAAAAGGAAAGCAAGTATTTTTAAAAGCACCTTTGCGTGTTTTATTATTTAAGACAGAAGTTCCCAGAGTCCCTCTTCTTTCCGAACCTGTACTTACACGTTGGGGTTCTTGAATTGAAGCTACTTCTTATTACTGCCAATATTTTAAGCAAGTACGAGATGTTCTGCGACATTTTGATTCTAACGATGCAGTATCTATAAAAGAATCTCAAGCCCTTCTAAATGAAATTTCAATGGAACAAAATTTGACATTTATACATTCAAATTATRGGTTTTACCATTAACCATACTTAATTAGAATCACAAGGAGTATCATTAACTGATTCAGTAACAACAGTAGTGTTTAAAAAAAATAAATTGGATGAAATTACGTGTGACGTTTGAATGAAAGTAAATACAAAATTTAACCAAGTTTTAGAAAAAAATGATGAGCTTGCAATAATATTAAAAATGTTGAATGGAGAAAGTTCATTGATGGATGGTTTACCAGAAGACCTAACGGGGAATGATTTAAYATTTTATAAATATATACTAGTAACATTAACAAACGTTGAAAGAAGTTTTCTCGGTACAAAACCACACTGGAAGAAAATCGGCGATCATTCGACGTTAGAAAATATTTAAAACAAAATTAATTGTGCAATACAATAATTTTTATATTTCTTTTATATCTAAGTTTTTTATTTTACTAAAATTTAATTTGATTTTTTGTGCATATTATCTCGCATATTTAATGAATTTGAATACATACTTTCAACATTTATATGCATATTTTTTCTATTTTACCTCTTATAACTTCTCTGCCCTTCTAATTATTATTAATATTAATATAATATTTATTCGTACCTAGGTACACGGATTTTCATGATTTCGTTTGTGCATGTTCTACGTACAATTGTTATTGTTAAGAAAACTATTTTATTGATATTTCTTCATAACATTAACAGCAGACTTCAGAGCCCATTATTTACATTGTGTTTATATAATTTATACTTATAGATTATTATAATTTACGATGGGGGCTGGAGGAGAAGTACTGGCACCATAGTTCCTCCTCCAGTCCTCGATACCATAAGGAAAAAAAAAAAAAAAGATTATTATAATTTAACAAAATAGTTTTTAAGATTAGGAAGGTATCTATACTGTACGGTGTCATTGTTGTTAAATAGTACTTTAACAATAATGATTTATAATAGAATTTGAAACAATGTATAAAAATATTAATTTAAATAATAAAATAAATTAGTATAGAATAGCTGAAATGTTATTTTAAATAACAACACTTTATCCACGTTTTTGTTGATTTTAATAATTTTCAGAAGTTTATGTAAAAGGYCAATGGTTCGATTTTAAATTGGTGTTTTAAACTCTATCGAATTAACAAGTTATAAAGACTTYGTATTTCGAGTACATTTTTATTCAAATTAATGTAATTTCTAAATATAAATTTAGGAAAGAGTTCAATTTCATTGTACGWGTTGTATTAGGAATTTTTGAAGAGGATACTTTACTAGAACAAGTGGGACTAAACGAAGAGCATACTTTTGGAATTCCTTTGCAGAAGTTCAATTTGAATTTAATTTCACCTACTCCTCTTATTAAACAATATATTTCATGTTGTAWACTTTATTGCGTGCAAAATATTTTATTTTTTTGCCTCTAACAATTTTTGATATCAGACTTTAACAAAGTTAAAARGGACTTATAAAATCAATTATACCTTCGTTTTAGTTCATACATTTTTTTAATCCCAAAATTAATTTACAGTATATATTTTAAACATTAAGTTTCCCCATTAAATATGGGGACTATGGGATTAAACACTATATTATGTTAAGGATCTTAAAGTGAATCATAAATATGATCAAACTACTTTAAATGTTTATAAGTTATAATCGTCATATTTCAAGAATTAAGTAGAATTTTGATAATTATTACGCCTGATTTGTTTTTTATCTTATTTATATTTATAACTTTTAAGCTAGGATCAAATTTAATTAATATATGTTTAAAATACTATTATAATAATAAGTACTTAGTTAACGTTATGAGAACAGTATAATAGACCATTYAATGAAAAGAAAAGAAAAGTAAATTAGTGGTAAGAATTTTACAATCATTTTTTTTTTCTAAATTACACATGATGTAATTTGATTACTAATTATTATTAATGTAGGTACCTAAATTATCATGGTTTTGCAAAAGTATTTCTTAAAAGGACGAATTAATTTATAAAATATAAACTTAAAATTATAAAATATGGGTTCATTAATACAATTTAATTTTTATAAGTAGGTTATAACTTATAAAACACTATACTTTTGATTGTTTTCCACTTTTCGTGAATAAATTAAAATTCAATACTGTTATAAATTTGAAAATATTTAATACTATACTSTGTTCAATATAAGAACAGAACTTGGCGGCGACCAGTTTTTGTTGGTAGTGGTCATACATTTCTACCAAGTGGACCTGCTTAAATCCTTTGGAACAAATCCATGGCGGCTATGTACAAAAGCCGTCCGTCGATGTCGCTGTTCTTATCTTAAGCAGAAAAAAGAGCGCATGAATTATTACTTGTGCAATTCCAAATAGTAGTTTAATACTTATGTATTTTTAGATGTTTACTTGATATTTGATTAACAACAGTAAATGTTGAGCAACAATAAATAATAATATTATATTTAGTAGGTAGATCAATACTGTAGGTGATACTTTCATAAATAAGAAAAATATATTCGCTATTCATTAAAATGTTTGGTGAAAAATGAAAATGTTAAACTATAAAGTTTAGCTATTTTATTCAAAATATAAAATATATATATCTTTTTTTTTTTGTAAGGAGAATCCGCGGCAACATAGGCCATTGAGAGTGGGGTGGTACGGTAGGGGTTATTTTTGTATATTTGTTTGTAGGTTTTTAAGTGGTAGGGTTGTAACACGTGATTGTGTATGTGTGGCAAGGATATGTTGCTAAAAATCCCCGGTGGTCACCCATCCGGGAGCTAGCAACTGCGGCCGGTACGTACGAACGTACGTTCAGTGCGTTTCCGCAGATTGAGCGTACGACCGCGCCTCACCAAGCCACAACATAAAACATAAATATATATAAGTCTAATCAATACTATATAGGTACTCTGAATTGAATTCATATTGTTATAATTGTACAATTAATTAGAAATAAAGGCTTCAATGTCTAGGTCATAACCCGACATTTATAATACAAAATATTTTATTTTAACATACWATAGTCTATAAGTTATCTTATTAGAGTTTATGATTATGTAATATTATATTKMRTATATCATATGAAATAAGTTACTAAATTACATGAATATTATTGCTTATAATGATACAGTGTAGTTACATATAGAAACATAAATTGATAGCTAATAACCTACATTGTTGATACTAAAACAGTATAAACAATAACAATTTTAAAATTGGATTAACTTTTATGGATATTTGATGGATTTTCTCATTTTTAAAGAATTATTATTATTATTGTCGTCATTAAATCCGTATATTCATGTTATAGGTACCCATCGCATGACTAAAATAAACTATAAAATCATGCAGCTAAATCCTTACGTTTTATCATATCCACTTAATTTTACCATTTCTGGTAAATTTAATATATACATACAACTCCGTTTCTGTATTCCAATTTTAATTTTTCATTATAATATGTATCCCATAAGTACATTTTACTTCATTCAGGTAGAAAATATTCACTTCTAAATCACAACATATATACAAGCGCATGTTTGATAGTGAGTTTTATTTATGTAATGTATAATTATGTATTAGTACACTACTAGAACTAAAAATAAATATCTTTATTAAGTAGGTACTTGGTGGCTAGTTTAATAATTGTAACTGCTCAGTATAAATCTAAATTATTTAGATGTATTTGTAGCAAATATCAGTAGACTATAGTTAGTAATAACATATAAAGCATAAATACTTGTTATTCAGAGTAAAAATGTTCTATTTCGGTTAAGAAAAGTATTCAGCTAATGCAATTTGTAATTAAATTATAATGTTTATAATTACTTATAAGTTATAATTTATGTTATAGTAATTAAAAAGTAAATGATGTATATAAAAGTTTAATCTATGTTCAATCATTACTTGTAGATGATATTTATGTGCCTAACTTTTGGGGGTATTATTATTATTTTTTAATTACTCGCCTTTGAAAGACGAGAAACACGGTTATTGATTTTTCCTCGTCTGTTGTTTGTACTGTTGCTGTGCGAACGAATTCGGGAGAACTACCTAACGCTTTGAGCTAAAAGTTTCGACATCCAGACCGTAATAGAAGGGGTGTAAAATTGGAGAAGATAAAAGAAACACAAATCGGCTAAAGTTTTTATAAATTTTAATTTTACAACATTTTTGAATTTTTTTTCTCTTAAAAAGTCTAACCGAAAACTGCATAAAAGTTTTTGAACCTACAGAATATGGTTGATATATTTTACTCATAGAAAGTTTATGATTTAACAGWAGTATATTACATTAAAAGTAAAATTAATTTTGAGATGGGAAAAAGGAGATCAACGTATATTGTAATATGGATTAGAACAGAAACATAAAAACGAGAAAATATCCAATGTCCTTAACGCATTTAACGGTATTCATTTTAATATGATAGAAATAACATTATAAAAGAAATGCAATAACGATATAAGAATAACGAAGGTTAAAACAAAAAAGTCCAACGAGAAGTATTGATACCATTTAGTATTTACGGCCTGTGATTTCAGGTGGTGTGCGCCGTTGTGTCGTAACACGTACTCTGTCCAATAGGCCACTGTGTCTTTTGGATTGAGTGGACGATCGTGGAAACGGTATGATAAATCCACGGCATTKTCTTTGAACCTAGAATTAAATGCACACCGTATCAAACTACTTATTTTCAAATAATATTATTTGATTTGTAAATACTAGATAGTAGATAGTARCTCTTCTAAAGTTTGAAGATAGTAGCCCTTGAGTCAAACAACATCTTTATGTAAAATTTAATACGTCATGTTAAATATWACAGTCTATACTAAAGAAGTAAATCCTACCATTCCTACCTAATAAAACCACTTTGTTTTTTGACCAAATTGGCTGTTTAAACATGGAAAAGGGTTCTGTCAAGCGGTCGTATAGCGGTCGTATAGCGGTCATATTATTATTTTACATACTATAAATACATATTATTAATTAAATAATTAATATTACCACAAAAAACTTTATTGTTATTTAATATTTTTATTGAAATATTAAATGAGTTACATGTAACTGGTACGAGTAATAACTGTAATGATACAATTATATATATATATATTCGTCAAAATCAAAATTCTGGCTTTCTATCAGACTACTGATACGTATCTAACTGTTCCTATAACCTAGAAGTACAGTGATCCGATTAGCTAATCTAGTGTATTTTCTAATTATTGTTCTGTCTAAAATAAAAATTCAATACGAGTGTATAGGTACGAAATTATTTTAGAATTGTATTCATTATGTAAAGAAGATAATTTTATATTACTTTAATCATCTTCTAACCAATTGATTTATACCTATATAGGTATTTTATGTACCATAATATTAAATATTTTGTCATAAGTATTTACATAATAATAAAGTTCATCTTACCTTTGATCACTTAGAATCTGCTTAATCTTGTGTACAAAGTCTTCTTTCGTGAAATTATTGTAGTCTATAAACAAGCCGGAACCCCAGTATTTGAATAGTTCCAAATTTCTTGGCTGATCAAAAAATATGGGAAAACCTAGTACCGGAATGCCTGCGCTAGTTGCTTCGATAACGCCAGAATTACCACCGTGTGTGATAAAAAGTTTTACATTTGGATGTCCTAAGATCGGTAATGACAAGAAAGTATATACAGTTAAATTAAACATTGAGGCAATGTAAATAAAAAAAAAATACACATAATTCATACTGAATATATAATAAATTCAGTTTAATTCAAAACAAAAAAATAAAACGAATATTTATACTTACATAAGCATATAATATGATCATCTACATATATAAGTAATATTATGGACTAAAATATATAGATAATAGGTAATGTCCAGATTTCTAACCCACCCATCCAAATTTATTGAAAAATCAATGCGCTTCATACACGAATGAATGCTGATAACCCTTTTCCTTCCCTTGATATTATAACCATAAGAACATTTACCGGGAAAACATTTCCTATTTATGTGTTATTTATGACTGTAAAAAACTTTTATTTGAAACTTGTTCTTTTATCTCATTAAATTTATGCCGACGTAAAAGCCACCCTACTTTTTTTTTAATAACAAAAATAAACATACACATATGTGCAAGAATTTCAAAACATTTAAAACTTTATCCATTTTGTTTATTTTTTTTTTTTTTTGTAAAATTCATACAAGAAAATATAAATTAAATGTGTAATCGTTTGTTGCTTTTGTTATCAATGGAACGAATAATAAATCATTAAATCAATGTTGTTTCCATAAGGATTGTTAATAAATCCTCAAATATACTGCAGCATCGCAGACACAGAGTTCAAAATTTAACAGTCCATATATACCAACAGGGATATAATTGATTCTTTGCTTAAAATTGCAATGGATGTAATCAATAATTTATGTATCAAGAAATATTTAAATGATAACCTCTCATAGTTCTAAAAAGTTAATACATAATAATATGGWATTATGATTACTGATTTGTTCCTTAGATACTTAATAATATAAATTTAAAATGTAAGTAAAAAAATATTTTAATTTATATGGAATTATTAATAAAAGAGAACTTTGAACATTTTTTACATAAAAGTTAATTTAAAAACAAAAATCAAAAGAAGCAAACTACTACTAGGTTCTACATGTTAAAATTAATATACATTTGGAAAAAACGGTATTTATATTGTTTGGAGTTCTAAACATTATACAGTGAATAATATGTATGTAACTTTTCTTCAACTAGCTACTTACTGATCTTATGATAGGTAGAATAGTTTATACTAACATTTTGAGTAGGTATCATAGTTGACATATTATATTATTTTAAATTACTTAGAAWTAATAAAATAATTGTATAGTGACTATATTCCTTCATTACRAGTTAATTAAAATTATYGATTATTAATTAGTAATTAAWATTAATACAAATTTCAYAAATCATCCCATTTTAAACAATTATTCATTCGTTGTGATATAAAAAAATAATATTATTATTATTTATCGATCAAAAAGAAATATTCTTACTTATAATATCATATTGAGGAAACCATTTTCTTGTAATTACATTTTTGGGTAGATTGATAATTGGTCTATCTGACTCTAATTTCCACAAAACCTTTTGTGATAATTCTCCGAATCCTTCTGTAAGTCCGTTTTGTATAGCAATTGGTAAATCTTCCATCCTGACCACGGACCCCAAACTGAAATATATAACGCCATGTTCGGAGTTGTCGATAAATTCCTGCAGGTCCTGCACAATCGAATTTATGACTGATAACTGTGATTTGTTTTCTGAACGTCACGCGAATGACTCTATTCTTATAAAAATGCAAATATATTAATTAAAATAAATCGTTAAAAATTCAGCTTTTTCACAATTTGCCTTGACTAAACTATCCATTTAATTTTTCTATGCATAAATWTGGTATATAGCTATTATAAGTGCCTCGTCAATCAATTTAGGTTCTATGCGGAGAGATGATTGTATATTGATTTTAAAATGAATGTATTTTTTATTTATACCTGTCATCACTCACTACAAACTTGGAGTATTAAAAATTCTTCGATTTTTTACTTCAGCATTTTTTCCTGTAGGTAAGTGAATTTTGTCGATTTCTACTAAAAAAATTCAAGGAATACAAAACATATTATTTAAGGAAAAACAGTGACTTTTAGTTTTTACAGATAACCAGTTTTTCGTCAGGATCGATATTGTTTTTGTTTTTCGTACTCATTAATGAATAATTGTAGATACATGTTTTATTTGCCAAATGTTTATAAGTAGCACATTTTAGACATTTTTAATTTTTAATTCTTTGTTCTTTAATAATTGTCGATTAATTTTTCTTTGGGTCAATCTTGGGAATGTAATTCAAGGTTCTTAAAAATGTGTAATTAAAATKATTGTCATGTAAAAATAGTTGTTAAAAACATTAAATATACATAGGTAGAAAAGATTGTTTTTTATGCATTCAAAGTTTAAACTTTAATAAAATTCATCAAAATCCCGAAAAWTTTACAATCTATTTTATTGTTAAGATTTAATAAAATGTTAAATTTTTATATCTAAGGTTTGAAAATTATATTTATATACAAGGTTTTTCACAAGTCTAAAAAAATATAATATAAACAAATAATTGTATAGATATTTTAATTTCAAATTTGGAATAGATATTTAAATGAAGAATAAATATTTTAATTTTTTTTTATAATTTAAAATTTTAATTCGTAGGTAAGTATACTGATAACAAAATGATAGAATTTTATACACACAATGGGATTTTCAAATGCAGTTTTTTTTATCAAAAATGAATTCAACTCAATACATTAATTTAATAGTGAAATAAATTCTTATATTATTGATAATTTTTCAAATAAAAACATTTGATATATATATGTGACTAACCCRACTCTTGATTCTGAAAAACTAAGCGATGACTAGAAATCAATGGCGCCCTCTCGTCGGCTTTTTTCGTAAAATAAATGAAAAAAAAATTTTTAAATTAAACTGACCACCCGTTCGGAGAGGTGGGTAATATAGGATGTAATAATTGTAATATAAGTAGCTATGTAATGGTGAAAAATATTTAGAGGTGCTAGGTCTTTTGATATGTTTTTAGAACAACGTATATAAGGACCGTCTTTTATTATTATAATATGGATTCTTACGGTGGGCAATGGTTTGGGTGGTTTTAAGTGTATGCCTCCGATTTCTTTAAAATTGGTCGCCAACGGTTTGGAAAAGTCAAAGTTCGAATGCGTGTTGAGRAACACCATTGATACATTACGGAGTAAATCCTCGGCGTGCGGACTGTCGTCGCCAAAATATTGACGACCCATAATCGTGGCTGCAGTGTCAATGTACTTGAAATACATAAAAATTGTCACATAGTCGATGACGTTCCAAAACCGTTGAACGAATGTCTCCGGCTTTGGATAGGGTGAGTTCAGTGTCGTGATGTACGACGGGTTCGACGGGCTGTCAAACGAATCCTGGTACCAGGTGAGCATCTGACTGGACATGATGGCCACGTGTGGTACACCCAGGCGGCTGGCCAAGTACAAGTCGCATCGGGATGCAAGTAGCTCTGTGATTACGAGATCGTAGTGCTGCGTGCGTAGTGCAAGCWGGAGGTCTGGGTGGTCGAATGCCGTGCGACACATGTGCTGTTGAACGTCGTTTAGGAATTTCAGACATCTCGTAGGGGGCTTGTACACTCCGACCACCTGTAATGCGTTTTAATTTAGTATATATTATTATTTATCCCCAAAAATGAAATATTGGTTTTCGCCGATCGAAATGTGCTTATTTATGGCTGAAAGGTTAAGTGGATAAAATATGTGTTAGCGACATTTTTTGAAAAACCATTTTTATTGTATAGCGGAGAGTAACACGTGTCATGTATTATTCTCATATATATTAGTAAAATATTCAGGCAAAGACGATTTTGTTAAGAATAAATTKTATTACGCTTTAATTTATTTAAAACTTGAATTATACTTACAACATAAAAATAATAATAATAAATAGGCGAAAAAAAATTAAAATCATAATTTGAAATTATTTTACAATAAATCACATAAGTATAAGTATAATTATAACCAATAAGGTCAGAAAGTTGGGTGTTTGAAATTCAAGTACAAAGTGTAAAACATAAAGCATAACTGCTGGTATTTTGGTTACATTATTAATGTTCAATTTGTAGCAGTGCATAATTTGTATATAATTTGTTGTCTAGTAGACAGTATATTAATTGTATAATATATATTAATGTAGTTAGTTGAGTTGTAGCATAGATTATAATTTATAAGTCAGTATGCTAAAGAGGACACTACCTACTCGTCATTTGTATTGAGAAAACAAGGTTTTCTTAAATTAATATTATAAAACTGCGATAGTACTAAATTCAAAAAATGTTTATATGGAAATATAAGAGAATAATATTATCTACGCTTGATACATTTTGATAAGATCAAATAATTTTTTTTTCTGTGAGTTTCTGAAGTTCAGATTTATGGTAATTTTTAATAAATCATATTAGGTAATATAATTGTATTAAGTTAACGAACTTACGAATACACAACTAATGTTTTCTTCTGAAGTTTATAAATTGGGAAAATTTAATAATTTTAGATCAGTTCCAAGACACTTAGGTTGTAATTTGTGAAAGCTATTTTTGTTACTTAAATACAAGACTTAAAATCAGCATAGTCGCTATACAAACCATAACATGAATCCATTTATTTGGGTAGTACCTATCCTCTTAAACTAGGGTTTTAAACTATAGACGTATACACGGTGTAACAGAAAGACCTGACAAAAAAAAATTATGCTAATTTATCATATGACAAGAATTGTTAATGTTATATGATGAGTAAATAATTTAAGAAATATATTCATGTTAGAAAATTCTCAAAAATCATTTTTAAAAAAAGTTATTGGGTTCAAATTAATTTAACCAAAAAAATATTGAATTTTAATAAAATTCTAAAAAATAAACTACTTGACTTAGATAAATCTTTTTACCATTAAAATTGTTCTTATAATCAGATTTACAAATAGGCTATTTTGAATTTATCCAAACATTTTTTTATTAAAATTGTTCTTATAATCAGATTTACAAATAGGCTATTTTGAATTTATCCAAACATTTTTTTATTAAATTTAAATTTTTATTTTCAGTACTTGAAAATAAACATAAAAAAGCGGGAAAGTTGATGTCGCTCTGCTGTACATTAGGGGATGGGGTGGACTTCTGACTAGGGTAGGTTATATTTGAATGCAATGATAGGTATCATTGTATACGAAAAACAATTCTGAACGGAGATGATTTGTCAGTCTAGCTCTAGGATATATTATATATTTAAATATTGTCATATATTCTATTTTGAAACAAATATTTTATTTTTCAATTAGGACGAATTTTGCATAAGGCATGGTTAATCAATTTTTCCAAAAACATTGAATGTAGTTATCATAATTATTCATAATATCTTATATTATCATAGATATACATATACCTGGTTTGAGGATAAATCGTTATCATTACGCGATTTCATAAAAATTTAAAACTCAAACRCTCAAAACATTTTTCCTATAATGGCGCTTCAAATTTTCTCTATAGCTATTTGAAGCAAAACTTATGGAAAACTTGGTGCTGAATTTTATAACCTTAGTTATATACACAAACAATTTTATGAATTTTGAACTGTAAATAATTTGCAAATATTCATGGTTTTGACGAATTTTTGTCAATATTTGAACTTCAAATGATAATAAAAAAAAATTGTGACCAACGATTTTTAATTTTTTTTAGCTACAATAAGAACATCTCATATGGAACTTTGTATTAAATTTTCAAGTTTTTTTGGTCATCCAAAATTTTTTTACCGACACTTAAAAAAAAAATTCTCATAAGAATCGAAAATTTTAGTGATGACCTATAAATAAGTCAAAAAAGTCAAAATTAAACTGTATATAAATAACACTATCATAAACATTTGGTGATAATTTCAAGTATTTGCAGTGATTAGTTTTTGAATTACAACCATATAAAAAAATCGATTTTTTTGAAAACTGTTGGAAAATGTTTACTTTTTATCTCTATAATGCACCAAGGATATTCACTTTTCCATCGGAAACCACCCCCAAAGTTTGAAATTGAAGCATTATGTCGACTAGTTATGCTGTACACAGACACAAAAAACAAAAAAAAAAAAAACACACATCATTGTAAAATCAATACATTCATCACTTCGTTCAGAATCTAAAATGTATAATACATGTAGGGCTAGGGTCACTTGATGAACAAAAGTTATTCCAAAGTCAGTTCTCTCTGTTACACCTAGTATAACGAACCGAAATGGAATAACAAGGCTTATCATAAACAGTTCATACTGTAACAAAAAAATTTCTAAAAATGTATAAACTCTATAAACACACTTTTTTTTATACCTAGATATTTAAAGTTCATATTTAGACGAAATTAGATATTTAAGCCAAAAATAACGATTTTAGTTATTTAAGGTATTTTGTTGATAATGCGAAATTATTTTTTGTGGATATTTAATACTTTTAAAGTATATTAATATATCATATATACACAATGGCATTTTCGATTACAATTTTTTTGGCAAGAATCAATTTAACTTACTGCTTACTGTATTACCTACTATAATGTCTAATGGTTAAATAGATTACCTAAATATCAATTTCATGAAATTTCTTTACCTAGTAATATGGGTCGTAAGTTACACGTAAGTTTTAATTTACATTAAAATTTTAAAATAAGTCATGAGCGTGTTTAATTAAATATAAATATAAGCGACATTAAGCGTATATGTATATGAGGGGTCTTAAATAATATTTTTAMCATCAGGTTAAAAATTCAGGAAGCATATACATAGTAATAATTAGTAATCATCCATAATTTATATCCCAGTGTTATGTAGATACCTTCGATAGGTACTTATAGTATCTTATTATTCTACATTTTTTTAGAAGCTAATTTGAAAATAATATATTTTAAATAGTTATAAAATAATTGTGTAAGCATTAAGCTTTTGTAATTGTTATTATTTTGACATTTAAAAATATTGTTCAATGTTATTTTTTGCATAAATATTAWAATATATACATCATATGTTTATTACTCAAATATACAGGGCTGCATAAAACTAGAAATGTATCTATATGTATAATGGTGTATAGATATTATTCCCAGAATATTAAATATAAATGRTTTCCAATAAATTATTAGTTTTAGGATATTTTTACCGTTTCCCAAGGTGATGCGATTGCAAATGGCACTAGTTTAGATACGTCAATTTGAGTGTAATTCTCGTGCGGTGTCTTCCTTGGAAATGGTGACACTACTGTAATCGTGTGGCCCCGATTTAATAGTACTTCCAGTACGGAGCTCATAACATTCCAGTGACTGGCTGCTGCTATTGGCGTGATGGCTAATATTTTTGCAGCATTTATCGTGTCTGTAGTAGCTACTAATAGTAATATCCAAAGTAAACATTTTGTATCCATCTAAAACCGTGTTCATACAAATTTAAATATGGTTATTACTTATTACTAATCAAAATAATAAAATCCGTAATAGTTTTCAATAAAAGGTGAAAAATACATATTAAATTATAATTTAATCGGTTTTAATAACATTGGTATATTTCTGTGTTACCGGACACCCATTTTTGTGTTCTGACATATAGTTAAGCGTATAGTTAAGCATATTGAAAATGATGGRGAAGTTGAGTAACAATAGTCATTTTTTTTATTGTAATTTATTGTTTGATTGAGCGCTGTGAGTTCTAATCTCGGTGTGAATATATGAAAATACCATACATTTCAATTAGCTATAACTTTACAACAAAGTCCAACCGTCAAATACTGACTTCACCATCGTTTTTAGAATGCTTAAGGGGAGAATGGGTAATCTGGTCAGTGAGTAATATCGGTCACCTCGTTATTAAATAAGCCAAAATCCAAAATTAAGTTTCTAGTACAAAAAGGTTAAGAACCATAACAAAACTTATTCTTATAAGAACAATGTTATCAAAAAAAATTTCACGTTTAATATGTACTATGTAGGTACTATTAGTTTTTTGCGTTAATTTATTAAAAATGTTTCTACTTAATAGATATAAGCACATAAAAAACAAAATATGAAGATTATAATTTAAAATASATTCAAATCATATAATAGTATTATTGTTGATCGATTAAAAACATTTTCTTATTACTTATTGAAAACCTGAGGTATAATTATAGATATAATCCTTACTTAGGTGACCAGTATTTGCTCATTCTCTTCAACTACATACCCGAAAAAAATGTTTAAAATGATGTCCGGTAAAATAGACAACTTATGTTTTTAATAATTATTTAATTTTTATAGGGTCRTATKATTATTCATTATATATTTATAGAAAATATCAAATATCGTAGTAAAATCTGTTTAACATAAATAATATTATTAGTTTTTTTTTTTTTTTTTGAAACGATTATTTGATATCTATAATAAATATTGTTTTTAATTTAAAAATCGTTTGAAAATTAAAATATCATCGATAATGTTTAATTGAAAATGTAAGTTAMTCTATGTATAATGTTATTTTATTTTTAATGAATTAGTTATAGGTACGTCTGCATAGGGTTATGTACTATAGCTAAAACTCACCTTCGTGTATTAGCGGGGTAGGATAATATCACGCATTAATTCATGTTTCAATTCACTTGTGCCGTAGTAATAATAAATTGCACTTTAGATAATATAATGCGTGCGAGAGTCAATCATGAACATATTGTACTAAATGTCCGGTCACGGCGGTCACAAAACTAAAAGAGGAAGGACGGCTAACACCGGTTGTAGTAGACCCCCGCCACTATAGAAACACCTYACAGGTCTGGAAATAAATTGATCACGGTGCTCGCGTCACGCTGCCGTGTAAAAACAAAATAGTTGGGACTGAACCAATTCCGACGGTCAACAGCTGGAATGCCGCAAATACGCAAATGTAGGAACAACTGAGTGTTTAAAAAAAATTGTTTAATTAAAATGTATAATATTCTACTATCTAATTTATGTCTTATTTCTAAATATAAATTGAAAAAACGTCATTATTATCCCAGCAAACGCCCGTTCTTATATTATATATGAAGTATAGATATTATTTATGAATTATTGTTAATTTTTATCTTAATTTCATGGTTTTAGTTTTTCGGCGTAATTTCCCGAATAGTTCAACAATTATATCATGTTTCAAAACAATGGTAAGATGAATAACTGGTAGTAAAATATAATAATGCCATTTGTTATCATCTAGAATTCTAGACTATAAATACAATTATTATACCTAGGTATCACTCAAACTGTAAATATATATGTGTTATAAGATAATATAAGCATATTTTATATTCGTACCTACTTATTTAATGGCACCTATAATAGATAAGTGCACCTATGTCTTAACCTATTGTATTATATAATATGAATATACTAACGTTTTTAGATTTGAATATACACATTTGTTTTCCTAAATATATTTTATAATTCAATTCACAATCATTATAGCTTAAGAGGACGTCACCCCCGCATGGGTTGTTTCCGTCTTTCAAGTACGTAACACAGAGATTCCCAACCAGGGTGCCGCGAAATTATTTGAAATATTTTTTTTAGAAAAAACAATTATAAAAGAACTAATAATAAAAGATTTGTGTAAAAAAAACAAGCCCAAGTGTTCATTAATTCCAATAATAAATAAATAAATAAGTTCCCTAATTTTAAATTAATATTGTAAATTAAATAATAAATAAAAATAAATACAATTTAATAATTTGTTTACAAAATGTAATATGTATATAGTATGCACCTACATCTTACTACTTTTGATTATAATTATTATGCACTAATAAATAGAACCGAAGTACTCTATACTATTGAGCATAGGGTGCCTCCGGATTTTTAGAAAATGTCCAAGGGTGCCGCGAGTTAAAAAAGGTTGGGAACCTCTGACGTAACATAAACAATTTACGCTCAGCAGTTCCAATGTAGCTCCATTAGTTTAAAATTTGGAGTGACTTGACCTCTTATAAAAATTAAAGTTAAAATCTAGGTTTTTTATTACATTTTAATTTTAAATCAAGTTATGAGTATTTTTAAAATTGTCAATTGTTTGTATTTCTTATAATACTCATAACTCGCTTTAAAATTAAAATATAATAAAAAGATTCTGTGATAACCTAGATAATAAAGTGACCTTTAATTTTTATAAGAGGCCAATTCACTCTAAATTTTAAACTAATAACGGAGCTACATATTGGAACTGCTGAGCGTAAAATTTGTTATGTTACGCACTTGTAAGACGAAGACAATACACGCAGGCGTCCTTTTAAATATAGTTACACAAATCACAAACAAAATAAGAACAGATAAAGTATTACAAAATTTTAATTGATTTTTGACAAAATTGATTTTGTATTTCTACGCAGATAACTCATAAACGAATAGCCGTAGCCCGTATAATAGGTACTTTAACTTTCATTAAACATTTATATGACCATTTCTCATACATTATAACCATTTACCAAATATTTTGACTTTTTCATATATTTATAGGTACCTATAAGAAATACATTTTTTGTTTCAATTATTGTCATTAACTAATTTTAGAGTCAAAAACTTGATAATTTAATATAAAGTTATCGCCATAAATTTTTGTAACAATTTAGATATTTTTACCAAAAATAATAATTTAAATTATTTTGTTTTAATTTAAAAATATGATCCGTGGGAATTATTCACACTGAATGACATTTTAATTTTAAAACACGATGTTTGTGCAAAAATGTATTCAACTTACTGCATTGTATTATCAACAGTTAACCAAATTGGATAAAAAGTAACAATATCATAAAATATTCTTTAGTAATACTGACGCTAAAAATCGTTTTTCGTATACAATTAATTTTATATCATTGAATTTAAATTTAAATCATCCATAACGCAGTGATCCACGCTAAATTTACAGTATAACGGAACGGTATACTTACTTGCTCATTTTTGTTTTATTAAATTCAAACATTTTTATAGTTAGTTAACTGTTTATAAGCKGTTTTTCTCTTAAGTTTATAAATTTATACAATTATTTATGGTTTAAGAATTTAAATTGCATGCAATTTTTAAAGGATATATCAATGGAATATAATAACTTGACCTAATTTGATACTTAGTGATAACTAATTTATTCAAGACTTTTTAATTAATATTTAATATTAAAAGTCCTAACCTRTGAATAAAATCATGCTTTATCATTGCATTCAATTAATACCTATCCTGTGACTTAATGATCACAGCSAGATAAGAGCAAAAATTCAAAACACCTGTTCTTTGTATCCTTTCWTTTAATATATTATTTGTAATTTCTTACATAGTTGATGAAAATTTATAATACAATGAATACAATTTCTTATAATGTTGAATAATAATTTATACTCTCATTGGATCGTTTCATCTTATCTTAGATGACCTATAGGTCAATATATGAAGTGTCCGGACTGGCATCCATAATTATTAATAACTGAATTAAAATAAAATTCAGTAATGAATAAAGTATAAGAAATATGTATTATTATAATCATCAGGAAAGTTATGATTTTACTATTGACCTTATTTTTAAACCAATATTTAATATTTATAATAATTAAATTATTTAATCATACCACGCATTGTGTACAAAWACACACTTAATTGAACTTCAACTTAAAAAGTATAATATTAAATAATAATCAACTACAAAATTAAATTTTTTTTTTAATATTATATATATTTTTAATGGTATTTAGTATAATTGGGTTTGATGCTATGTGATGGTAACTAGTGAATGTCAATGAATAAAAGTTGAATTTGAATAACGTTGTAAATATAGTTAGTCAAATAATATAATTTTTGGGGTGGGTTATTCAAAAATTCAAAATCATAATATAATTTTATAAGTATAATATGATATTCTTTTTTTATGGTATTATTAATTTAATATATATTTGGAAAGATTCCAAGATGGTCAAGCATTATAATATATAATGCGTACATAATGTATAATGCATATTATCACAACAATACATTTTTTCACCATGAAAGATGAACTTCGTTGATAATATTTTCAACGATATATGTGTGTATAGACTATGTATACAGAACTAAAGATTTTCATCTTATAACACAAACATCTTTCCTATCAGACATCGGTAGGTAGAAGGAGGTTATCTATCTACCGTCTACTCTTTGGCAAGGATAAAATTTATTTTTAGGTAGATTATGGAGTCATTTGGGCTAAGAACTAAGGTGGGTTCATCGAATAAGGTTTAATTTAATGATGGAAGTGTTTTCGCTAAGGTAAAGGAAGCAAACGTTTTGCTGACTGATGGTTATCTGACTTTACGGCATATATATGAACTATGAAGTATGTTCATCACCAAAACGAAAATGTAGGCATCATCAATGGTTACCAGAAACACTAAACCGTTGAATACGTTGGTTGGTGATAGCTAAGGAAGGGAGATGGAGATGTCTGATTTTTGTCGAGTGATGATTTGAAATAGAATATTAATAAGTTTGGTAATCTTGGTCTTGATTATTTAAATGCAATTGCWTGATAATCATGTGATTTATTTTTAGTAAAAAATTAGTTCAACCTACTAAGGTATTGATCATAAAAAATTAAATGTTGAGTCGCAACGTCGGTACTTTCCAAGACAATTAATGATGRGATTATAAATAATTTTTCTTTTATTAGTACCTATACACTAAATTAAAATTCAATATATTATTATTTATCAGTTGAGTTTAATTGTTTTAATTTTAAATTATTACTCTAGCCCCGTATAATATTAAATTATACGGGGCTAGAGATGTTATGAAGCAATAAATGGATTCTTTAGGTTAGTAAATCCTTAAATTAATATATATATATTTTTAATCAAACTGAAAACTTGACAACTTTACATTAATGGTTAATATATTTTTTCATCGTTGACAATGATCTTGCTTAGAATTTTTCAAGTAATTTCAATGTATAATGAATGCTAGTACCTATATTATTAATACCTACTTAATTTAATATTATTATAAATTACATATTTATCTCTTAAGAATTAATAAGTAACCTATAAGATACAATTTATTAATAATTGAATACATATAATATATTGAATGACTTTTATAATACACGTCCATTATAATAATAACTATCGACCATGTCTGGAAATATTAAATATATCACAATAGTTTTCATTGGCATTAAATATATTTATTTAGTACATTCGTATGTATTGACGTATTGTGATCTTTATTGTGAACTTTGACAACACATAAATTGTACGTAAAGGTTAACCTACACCTACTCAGCCAATGGTCGATATATGCATTTAATCTTATATTTTTAAATTCTTGCTTTGGTATATACTAAAATACCTACCTATTGGTTAATGCTAAATTAGAAGATGGGTAACCACCCACATATCTCTACAACCTCCCAAAATCGCATAGGCATAAGGCATCATCCAATCGATTACCCCTTCGCCATTCCATTGTGTACACATATTTTTGTAAAATTATGCGTCATTTAACATTGGACAGAATGAATTTTTTGAGCACCAGTTTCAGGATGAGACGCGTGATGAACCATAGCATCATCAATACCACCAGTAGTGCAAYACMCATGTCAAACATGAAATAACTAGTCCACGATGCATCGGCCGACGATGGCCTAATGTTGCTTTCCATACCATGTCGAATCAAATAATCGACCCAGTATACGACTGACTCGGAGGGCGTCATGGGGCGGTCTCGAAACAATGACGCAACCCGTTTGGCGTTTTCTGAAAAACTGAAGAAAAAACAGACATCCAAATCAAATTCCAGTTAAACGATTTTATCTTGGTTAAGTTTTGGTACATTTATAGCATATTATTCGTTGAATTTCTTTACCCGAAACTATAATACAAATTAAGTAGGTTTAAAAGTTGAAAGTATATTAGTAGTAAAATAAAATTATGTATAATAATAAGATCTATGGTCATTTATTATTTTTAGGATTTTTAGGTCTAAGAAGTTTTGTGGTTTGCAGTGGCCAAAACACATATAGGTATTTGACTATCAACTCGATTTAAAAGAATATAATTATGATTTATAACTAGGTGTGTTTCTATATGTAATTAATATTGATAGTACCTTCGGTCTTTAATTAATCGGTTAATGACTTCAGTTAATGTTGTTTGAGTCAAGTTATTGATTTTAATAGACAAAGCTGTACCGAGGTCCACTAGAT